TCATTGGACTGGCAATGTAGAGATCCATGCTCTGAGGGATATGGTTTTGAATCGCACTACAGCAGATGGTGAAATTGAATTTATTTAATGAATATTGAACAAGAAAATAATCTAATAGCAACCACGAAACACTATCAATTGTCATAAAGACCCATCTTGTTCATTAATGTCCTTTATGGGTGGAAAACCCGCCATCCTCACCTGACCTGGCCTATACGGTTGAATCTGAAATGGCCTAGCAAGCCACTCTACTGTAGCTAGGTACTACAACGGATGATAAAAAGAATGAAACCAGTCAAACTATCCAGGATGAACTCAGGCACTGGAAACAACAATCAAATACCCATCCCTGTCAACACTGCAAAGTCTGGGGCCCTTGTGCTAAAATTGGGAAAGCTATCTCACAGACTGGTTTACCAACAGTCTGACATAGTCATACTCAAGGAATCATGTCCCAGACAGCACCATCACCATCTCTGGGAATGTCCTGTCCCACTGGCAGGACAGACCCAGCACAGGTGGTGGCACAGTGGTATACATTTAGGCATGAGTTGCCCTGAGAGTCGTCAACATTGAATCCAGATACCATAATGTATCACGGCATCAGGTCAAACATGGACAAGGAAACCTCTTTCTGATTACCACATCCCACACCCCCCCCACTCCCTCAGCTGGTGAATCAATTCTTCTCCATTTTGAGCACCACTTGGAGGAAGCACTAACTGTGGCAGGGAAACTGAATGTAATTTGGATAGTTCAGTGTCTATTGCCAAGAGCAGCTTTGGTAGCACCACTACTGACTGAAGTGTTTGAGTTCTAAAGGACATTGCTACTAGACTGGGTCTGCAACAGGGTGGGGAGGGAACCAGCAAGAACAAAAGCATACTTAAACCTATCCTCACCTACCTACCTGTTGCAGATGCATCTGTCTTGGGCAGTGTTAGTAAAAGTAAACACCACATGGTCCTTGTGAAGAGAAATCCCACCTTCACATCCTCTATCATGTTGTACGCAACTATCACCGTACTAAATAAGATAGACTCAAAACAGACCTACCAACCTAACACTAGACCTAAGAGGATTTGTGAGCTATCAGGAGTAGCAGAATTCTATTCAACCACAATCTATAACATTATGGCTCAGTCCATCCCCTACTCTCCACTACCAAGAAACCAGGGAATTAACCCTGGTTTGATGAAGAGTACAGGTGGACATGCAAAGAGCAGCTCCAGACACATCTAAAATTGAGATGTCATTTGGTGAAGTCACAGGGCCAGCTGCATGGCAAGCAATGTATACAGCATATGACAGAGCTCAGCAAGCCTAGAACCATTGGGTCTGATCTATGGAGTAGCAGTCCAGCATAACCAGTCATCAATGGTGGGGGACAATTAAATAACTCAGTGGAAGTGGAGGCACTCAAATACCTCCATTCTCAATGAAGTGGGAGCCCTGCATATCAGTGCAAAAGACTGAAGCACTGGCAAGCATCTTCACCCAGAAGTGCCCAATTGATGATACATCCAACTTCTTCCTGCAGTCCCCAAGCTCTCAGAAAATTCATATGATATCCAAAAGTGCTGAAGGCACCAGATACGGGAAAGGCTATGAGCTCAGATAACATTCTCAGAATAGTACTGAAGACTTGTTCTGGCGTCTAAAAATCATCCACAGAAAATACTTGCATATTTAGTGAAACTGCTACCATGCTCCTTGGAAGAAGGATAACATTGTAAAGTTTACCAAAGCTATGATAAAATGTGTAGACACCACATTCAAGTGAACTTTAAATATTGAGATGCAAAATGCACTCCATAACTCAATATTTGAATGACTATTCATGATAATTGATAACAAATTTATGTGAAAGTAATAACCAGCAAAGGTTTAACCATCTTCTGCCACCTCTTACTGACGTGTTCACTTGAATTGAACATTACATAAATAAATTTCTCCCAAAAGGTGACACAACATTGCACCAGAAGGATTTTTTTTAAGGTGTTAGGAACAATAGTTGAACCAAGCAAGGATCACTACACAGTTGTTACAGCAAGTAAACTCATCTGTGGTGTAATTGCAACCTTTTATTTATATCCACAATGCCAGCTATTTCACTTTCAATTTGATTCAAATTTATATCCTAATTGACAAATCAGCTCTATTTGTGTAAGAATTGTATCATACAAAGTAAAAAAAAACAAAGTCCACTGTGGAAATTAACAATTTTCATGCTCATCATTCATTAGCTAAAGGTTTCAAAAATTAGATTTGAATCTTCAAAAATGTTACTTCTGAGGGATATTATGAACAAATAGAAATCTTTTGTCTTTAAGATTAAATTTACACTGTAAAACATAGTTTAATATTTAGGTTTAATATAAACCTGTTAACTGTACAGAATTCTTTTGTACATTTTTTAAAGCAAATATATAGAAGATACATTTTTGTGGATGTGGCAATTTAACACCAGGATTCTCTCAAAAGAAAGACATAATTAAACATTTCATCTGCTTAAAATATATCACAATAATAATCTTTGCTGTGGACCATAAAATATTTACACATTTGTAATGTGAACAAATACTTCATTAATAAATTAAGCTCTTTAGCAATATGTACATTTTTCTTAGCATTGTAAATGCTTTTATTGCCAGGGTATCTAACATATCAAAGCAGTTATCCAAGACAAATATTTATGATAATACTTTTAGCCTAAATTTATAAACAATGAAGACAGTAAAACACTAGAAATATATTTAATATTCTCTCTGATCTACATACACTAATTAATAGAGAACTTAATGGTAGAGAGAAGCAAAATGATGCAAAAATGTTAATATTGCTGCAAACTAATACTATCTAGTTTGTAAAATACTTAGCACAATTATGTTACTACAGAAGGGATTGTTCATTTTAGCACCTGTATGTTATTTGTTAATGTGCATTTTACAGTGAAGGAGTTGTTTAATGTGTAAGTACTGCTGTCAGGGATCATGGCTCACCAGCAGCAGAAACTCATAAAATTATCCCCCAAGTGTTTTGTCACTTTTGTAGTGCCACAAATGTAATGTCATGCATTAACAAAAAATTTAGATTTTGTTCTGTTAAAGTTATCAACAAAGGTATCTGATTAGAACAAGGCAGCTTAAGATTTTGTTTAGAATTCAACAGAGTTCAATTTGCACAGGCCACAGGTTAGTGTTCACAGATTCATACATTTACATGTAGGTGGAATAAAACACTTTACCCAAAAATGACTGCAACCTAGGGTAATACTTTCCACCGTACATAATAAGGTGCATGGCCATAGCTGTGGTTTATCCATGTTTAACTTTATTTTAAATGCAATGTTGCTATGCATATTTATGTGCAAATAGGCACTAGTTTCTGATTTAATATTTGCCCACTCTGTAGAGGCAATTCAAATTGATAATATAAAACAAACGAGGAGTTCAGACAAGTTTTGTGTGTTTAATCCCACTCAAATGTAGTGTCACATTAATCAGACCTGAGGCAACCCAGAAAGTATGAAGACAGGAGTTGGGATCAAGTGAAATGGGTCTATACACAAATGAGTACATGTCTTTGTAACTTTGGATTACAAAATAAATATTGGCTAAGCACACTTACCTGTTGTCAACAGCCTGATATCACATCATATTAATCGGTAACATACCTTAATGGTTGCATTAATACCATTATACACCAGGCCACAATTTTAAACATAAACACATTGAGGAGCACTGTATATATGTACGTTCTCAAACATGTACCTGACAAAATGAAAGAAAAGCTTCACCCATGAATTGTATCAGAAAATTCCCTTATTAACATACTGTTTTTATGCTATTGAGGTGATAAGTTGGTGTTCAAGTACAGAATGAGTAGTGACCTATAGTTAAATCTAATGGCCTTTCCTAGCCTCTCGGAGATAGCAAGAGCTACAGCTGCTGGAGTCAGAGTCAACACAGTGTGAAGCTAGAGGAACACAGCAGGTCAGACAGTATCAGAGGAGCAAAAAAGTCGACCTTTTAGGTTGAGACCCTTCTTCTGAGTCCAAACTTCTTTGACCTGAAATGTCAATTTTCCTGCTCCTCTGATGCTGCCTGACCTGTTGTGTTCCTCCAGCTCCACACTGTATCTTCTTTCCTAGCCAGATTATTTTTGCAAAGATTAAAAAAGGATGATAAAAGAAAATCACTTGAAAGATTTAGCAACAATTCAAACATTATTTTTTAACTATTGAACGGATGCATTACTTCTTATAAACAAAAGATGGTACCAGTAGACCATTCTGGCAAAAAGATGACAGCTAAATAGCTTGGTTAGAATTTGATGAAGGATTTCCAAGTTGCTGAGGGACTATACACTTGTTAGAAATTTATATAAAGTTCAGAATATCTGAAAAATTAGCTGAGTCTTTGGTAAGAGTTTTTGACACTAAATTGAACTGTAGGGATGTACTTAAGTTATTGGAGGTAAAATTCAATTTTTTCACAAGAGTGGTTCAGTTATCGGTTATACACACTCCCAATTTGATTTCCATTTAAATTAATTTGTCTCCTCCCTTTTTGCATCTCCTCTAAAATTGATTTTCACTCCCATTGATAGGTAACATAGTCACAGATACACAGACATTACATATCTTAACATAAATCTAATACTCACTATTCAAGAAAAGGACAGGAGTAAAATTCCTCCTAGATAGTTGGAACTTTAGGATTATTAAAGATAGTAATGTACAGGCTCCCAGACTGTTCTGTTATTAAAATAGATTTTTGCACCAACTGCCTGTGAATTGAGGTACATAATTGTGTATTGTATATTACTGGCCTCCATGTTATTAACAGCAGCATGGATTCAAATAGGAAATAATAAATGTAAACTTGCAAAAAGGTGAACATTTACAAAACTATTCCCTGGCATTAAGCAGATCTGTTATAAACTAACATATCCACAGGCTGATGAACTAAGTTATATAAATAGAAGGATTATCGTACCGAGCTCCAACGACCTCTGTGCCAGACATCACTTGTAGGGCAAGCTCGAGTATTGCATTGTTCACGATCAGGAGGTTTGTCAAGAATTTCACAGTTCTGGTCACTTAACCTTTGGCCATTTGGAAGCTGACAAATAACTAGTCTTGTTCTTGCTCCACCACCACAGAGCTGGGTGCACTATAAATTTAACACCAACACCACAGCCATTAAAAAAGTGATAATTTTGCATTAGAAACAAACAGAAAAGGAGGGTTGAAAAAGTTCTGTTCAGAATCTTAAGAAAGTATTTTGGAATATTAACAGTTCAAAAGAAAATAATATATAAGAGTTTAAAGGATCAGATATGCTTTTTATTGTAAAGATTTTGGAATTTTAATGTACTCGGAATATTATCTCACTTTTAAATTGACTAATTGATTTATTAATTCAAATATTTCTAAATCATTTAAGAACCATTCTAACCCAAAACAGGTAGGTGCGCAATGTGTGATGAGAAAACAGTTAAACATCTTGGTCACAGTTGGTCAAAGTAATTTCAATCCAGTGAGTGGAATGAATGCTTCTTGTTGATGAAAGTAGCCTCCAAAATACAGCACGTAGAGTGTTAATTTAGAATATTGTAAATTGCCTTTCTATTTTATGTCCTTTCCACTGTTGCTAACATTAGGTGATTAATGAACTCATAGGGCATCATTTTTAGAATAGTTTACGTGACAACTTATGCAAGGAAACATTTTTCAATAAGAGGGAAATAACAGTATTAACAAATGTTATAGCTTCTCACTATTGCATATGCAGATGTACACAAGAGAACTGAAATACTGTTTATAGATCACTGCTGAACATACCCTATGGAAATAGCAATGTAGAAACCAGAACGTGCTATCCAATTCCTGAAGTCTGACCTGTCATTCAATTACATCGTGACAGATGTGAACCCCAACTCACTTTGCCTGCCTTTTGTTCAAATCTCTTGATATCTTTCCCACCACCACCAAAATAAAAAAGTTGATCTCAGCCAACAAATTCAAAGTTACACCAAAAGTAGAGGCTTTTAAGGGAGAATGGTTCAAAGTTCCAATGCCCTTTGCATGAAAACATGTTTCCAAGTTTCACCTCTAAATGGCTTTGCACTAATTTTAAGACTGCGTCCTTTGGTTCTGGATTTATCTATCTAATTTAGTTTATTTTATCATTTTAAAAATTTATTTTAAGTCACCTCTCAACTGCCTAAATGCAAGGGAGTTCAAGCAACAGGCCCTGATAATTTACTATTTAACCCATGGTAATAATCTGATGAATCTGAAGTGTACTCTCTCAAGGGTACATGTACATTTCCTGAAACCTGGTGTCCAAATAGAATAAACTAGATGAGATTGGACCAACAGTTCTGTACAACTGAAACATAAATTCCTCATCATTGAATCCCTTGAAATAAAGGACAACATTTTACAACAAATTAGATTATTTTCTGTACCTGTGCACTTGCTTTCAATACACTGTTACTTGGAAACCTTTGAGGTTAATTAATATATTCAAGAATGAGATTAATACATTTTTATTAGTAAGGGCATCAAAGGTAGGTAAATTGAGCGGAAGTGCAGATGGTCCAACTAAATGGTGGAACATGTTCAAATAGACTGTTGTTATTTTTATTCCTTTGTCCCACCCTCATTTTGTTAATACCGTCCTGAAGCTGTTAGAGTCTTTTCTTTAAATGTGTGTAGATTATATTCTAATAACACTAAAGATCAACTGTAGTACTAACCTGTGGCCACACATAAGATGCAATGAAAGTTTTCCTGAGCTGTACTGAGAGTCCAAAGCATTAAGCCTTCAGTTTCTAATTAAAGTTTCATTGTGGGCCAGGAGAAGAAGTGTTTCTTCAAGTCTCAAAACAGAACCCACGAGAATCCCCTGTTCTAGTTTTGGGTCCATCTCTCCTGGTCTTAGTGCCTGTCAAACACTTATCTTCAACAGTTAACTTTGTCTTGAGGATCATTCCCTCAGGTTTCTAGCCAGGATAGCTACTCACTAGGTTGCATTCCTAGAGATGACTTAAAATTATCACCACTATATGGCAAAACCAACATGTTTTATGTTAATGGTGGATTGAAACAATAAGGTATTTAATTGTCAGCATGCTTCGAAATCCTATTAGGCTCATCAATCTTGAGGAAGTCATGTTTCCCTGATATTTCCTCATTTATTCAATCTCCAAGTATAATTATTGCATTACTGTCACATGAGCAAGTACTGGACACACCTATGTAAAATATAAGACCTCATATAATGCAGTTTAATGCCTTATGTTTACAATTTGGGGTTAAGTAGTAATTACAGAAAAGCGATCTCATGTGCATTGCTTACTCTGCAACTTTTTAGCATGAAGTTACACAAACTTTGTTTTAATCAGCACTCTCGATGAATGGGCAACAATTATATTCCTGAAATACCGGAAGTTCATGTATTATCACAATCTTTCCAACGTTCGAATAGTCAGTTGAGGATGTGACCGAGAAGGCTCTCTGCCAGCAAGTTTTATTTAAGTAATTTATGCTGTAAATAAAGTATAATAGTGATGTACATACGCCCTGCATTACATTGTTTTTTCACATTGATTATCTGGACCTCTTAAGCAACTGGAATATTTGATCAACCAGCACACTCCTGGTCCCATAGGCGCGGTTAATAAAATGTTTGCTGTACATGTAAATTTTGCCTCCAAATCTCACGAAATCCACATTACATCAGACAGCCAAATACCACTTTTCAAAATAAAACAAAGTCATTGAGCAAAAAATAATAAAATTTGAGAAATGCTGAAATAAGACATATTTTGTTAAGCACCAGATGAAATACTTTGACAAAATGGGTCTTTTTCTCGTTAATGCTCATGTTCTGCATTACCAAACAATTAATTGATAAAAAGATTATTAAAAGAAGAAACACTACCTCTCCCCAGTTGCCATAAACCCACTGAGGACAAGGACCAGATTCACAGGACCTCATTTCAACAGGCTTAGCCTGTTCTGTGCAGTAGTTGGTATCATATCCATCTTCATCTTGGCAAACCACAACACGCCTTTGGAATCCTCCAGCACATGTACTAGAACACTACAAAAAGAATTGAATCTGTATTAAAGCAATGAAATATCCACAGGCTTATTCGATGTCTACATAACAAAGTGGTTCACTCGGCAACACCCTCACCTCTGAACAATCAGGTTCCTGTGCAAATTCCACTCCAGGACTTTGGTACAATAATCAAGACTGATATTTTAGTTCAGCACTGACGCAGTGCCACACTGTCAGAGATGCTGTCTTACAGATAGGATATTAAATTGGAGCCCCATCTGCCTACTTGAGTGGATCACACAGCAGTATTTGGAAGAAGTGTAGGGGGGTTAAACCCCGTGTCCTGGCTAATATTTATCCTCATTCAACATGATAAGAGCAGATTATCTGGTCATTATCATACTGCTGCTTGTGGGGCTTTGCCATGTCGTACTGGCTGTCACAGTTCCTAGTTTACAACAGAGCCTACATTTCTAAAAGTACTTCATTGACTGTAAAGCATGGTGGGACATCCGGTGGTTGTGACAAGTGCTATATAAATGTAAATCTTACTATTTTACGTAGCTGGACATTCTTTAGTATGTTTGACTATGCTGAAGGAGTGATAGAATTTCAAATTTGAATTGTTGTTAATTGGAACCTAAGCCTATTAATTTACCTGATCTTTAGGCAGGCATTCTGTCAATGACAAAAGCTGCGCAATGTGGAAACAAAATTCCTCAACATGTAGGGGAACCTGAATTTTTGTCTGAAACTCAGCCTCTTGTTCCTTGAGCCCTTTCAATATGGATGCGTCTATACTTTTGTTGGTTGTAATGGAAGATGTTGCAAAGAGAGGTTAGCTATAAGTTTTATACAGCTTAAATAGCAAATAAATTAATAAAAATGAAATTCAAATTGAATCCAGGGAACAGGGATAAAAATATGATAGTTCTCTTCTAACTTCAGCAAATTGTATAGGTAAAGCTTAGGAAGAGTGACAGAAAGCTTGCTCAAAGGAATAGGACTTGATAAGGCTTTTAAAGGGTGGAGAGATGTAGAAATGAGAGGTTTATGGAGGGAGGTTCAAAGTCGATCTGCAGTAACAGAACTGTCTGCTATCAGTAGTAAGATGAAGGGAGGGAATATAAAAAGGTGAGTAGAGATTGCAGATATTTGATAAGGTAAGATACAGTTGGTTCTGATATAACGCAATAGTTCCATTCTCGTGCAATCTTGCATTATAAAGAAAATTGCGCCATGGCTGCGCCATTTGAACTAATGGGGCCGGAATCACATTATAGCCAATACAGGTAAGGAAAGTTTGCATTCTACAAATAGCGGTCTAAATCTCCAATCACATTAAAGCCAAATCGCATTGAAGAAACACACATTATAGCAGAACTGACTGTATTACAGATGAGGACAAGGATGTAGAATTAAATGGAGGGCTCTTGTGTGATGCAGTGATAGTGTCCCTCCCTCCAAAGCTGCATAATAACATCTCTGAAAAGGTTGATTAGAAAATATCGAATTGAATGTACTGGAGTTAGGGAAACAGTATATGCCAGTTTAGGCCAGGAGTGAACTTAATTTGAGAAGATAGATGCTGAAGAGTTTTGAACAAATTGCAGATCATCAAATGTGAACAATGGGATGACCAATAGAAAATATGGGTTCTACCGATGCCAAGGATGTGAGTTTGGCTGATATAAAAATTGAGGTTAAGAATGGATTGAAAGGTGGGAAAAATCAATGATAGGAAACATGCAATTATGGGCAAGCAATAAATGAATCAAAAAAGTACAATTGCTAAATGTACACATGCATTTATTACAAAAGGTTAAAAAAAAATCAATACTAGCCAACAGCTACTTACTGCTCCCCAAGGTCCAGTTCTCCACTGACTGCCTCCAGGTAGCGAGGTGCGATCTGAATCATCATGGGTTGGTAGGATCTTAACCCGAGGAAATAAATGATCATTCTGTCCAGATCTATCATATCCATGACGTCGTGGACTGCAACTTGGCATGGCACAATCTTGCTCAGTTAGTGGCTGATCATCAAGATCACACTCACTCTCGCTTACAATCTGATTCTTGTAATTCATGCAACTCACATGACGTGTTGCTTTACCTTGGCCACAGGTCACAGAACACTGCGTTGGAAGAATTAAAAACAAATATGGAATAACTCTTTCCAGAAGAAAGAAAGAAGCAAAACCAACAGAGCAAGATCTTATTGAAAAGCAGAATATGATAGATACTGGAAAGCTAATATACAACAGGAAATGTTGGAAAAGACTCAGAAGGTCAGGCAGTATTTGTGTAGAGAGAAACAGTGAATGATTCAGGTCTGTACACCATCACCACAGAGGAGCCAGTGGCAAGGTGCCTACCTGCACCATCCATCAGCGCACAGACAGTGCACAGGGTATACTATTAGGTAGAGCAGGTTCAGGCACACAATCTGGTGAGTACATCACTAAAACATGTCCACAGTTGATAGAGGAAGAAATAGCCAAGGTCTCTGACACTCAAAAAACTGCCAGAGATCAGATATGTTGTGAGCCCCAGTTAAAAGGCACAGCCCTGTGCTCAGCCATAAGTGACATGGTCAACTTGCAGACATAGGCAGAGGAATATCAGGCAGGCATGCCTAAGGCCCTCAGTAGATTGGAGTCAAAGATGAAGGAGCCCATCTGTGTTCTCACCGTGGTGGTGGCTTCAGCAAGCAAGCATCTAGCTGCCTCCAAGGAAAAAGGTGGTGGCAGCTCCGAGGCTCAGGCAGAATGCTCAGTAACTGTTGGATTGGTGCATGGACTGACACTCCATCACTATAGCCCTGGGTACTCAACATCAATGGCACAGTTGGAGGAGGATAAGTCACCTCAGCCTCCCTCCAGGTACCATTTCCTCTCAAGGAGACAGGGTATCCACAGAGGAAAAACAGAGGTGACCGACAAGGTGGTCCAACACCACAACACTGTTAAGAAGGTACACAAACACAAATACCAGGAATTCTCTTCCTAAGGGCATTGTGGGTCTACCTACAGCATATGGACGGCAATGCTTCCTCTTTAAAAGCAGACTTCCAGCTTACAGGGAGGGAATGTCTTTTATCACCCCCATAGCCATTCTTGTATGGGCTGAGGGCCTTTGAAAGATTGCATCTTTGGAAATGTAGGGGGCATAAGAAGAATAGCCACTTTGATCTATGCCACAGCCCTTTCACTTGTAGGAAATCTGTAAGAATAGTGTGTGAAAGCACATGACCCTAATAATGGGATGCTTTACCTCAGATATCCTTCCCCATGAATCTCCAGGATATACCCTCACAGATTTTGCACCTGACAAGGGCCCCGAGCAGCTTGCCTTCCACATGATTCTGTATTGCTGTGGGTCTTCAGAAGACAGTTCCTTGCCACCAACCTCACAAGAGCATGGAGGCTTCTACTAAAGATCCCCTACCTTCTAGGCTGTCAATGCCCTTTCACATCCGCAATAGCCATTCAGATTCTAATTTATATTGTTCCAAAAAACAGCAAGCCTCCCTTCCCCCTCCAGCCTGAGGTGGCTGGCAGTGACAGTGGGAGCAGGTAGCCCAGGGCAGCGGTGAGGGCAAAATCAAGCCCTTTGAGGAATGAGAGCCCAGGGCTGTGATGTTGAACTATTAACTACGTTTTTGTTTTGTTTTTTCTATGCTTTCGTAAGAAGGACCGAAATGTTTAACTTCTTGGCTTGCTTTCTTTGTTTTTTTGCTTTGTACTAAGATTCTGTGCCTAGGTACATTTGTACCTAAGATGGCACTATTTGTGGCAGCTTGTAAACTTTTCACTGTATTCATGCGAGTGAGAACATGTGACAATATAAGCTAATTCTAATTCTCATACCTGACTTCTCTTATCACCCATTATTTTGTGTGTGAGGATATGGAAGTTAAAGCAGTACAGATTATAGTCTTTGTAACAGTCTGCCTTCACCAATGAGGAAGATGAGGTATTGAGTGAATGTACTTTGATCTATTGACTCTTGTAAGCCCTAATGAGATATCAATCAGGCCACAGAGTACTTCCATTCAGTAGTTAACAACATCAGATTACAATTGGATGGTGTGACCTAAAAAAAACACGTTTTAAATCAATCTGTTTGGGTAAGTTATGACACAGCTCCAGGGCAAGTAAGTCATGAACCCAGGCCCAGGGTTAGGGACACTACCACTGCACCATAAGACACCCAAATAAGTTTTAATCAACCTGTTTGCACATGTTTATAACACATCTGAGGAGCAGGTAAGACTTATACATGAAAATTTTGACCCAGCGATAGGGGCACTACTGCTATACCACAAGAGGCTGCATGCTCCCCTACTCTATAGATCTCAGCCTGCTACTATCAATTTCCAAAAGAACAGGAACCATTCCCTGAAATAGCCAATACAACCAGACTCATCCACAGACTTGATCTGCCTACAGCCTCAAAGATACTATGGCTCTCTCAGCCACAAGCTGCTGCCTTGTCTTTTGTGGTAAGTTTCTACCAACAAGCAATGCACAGCCATCTTCCATTTGGGTTCCATGATGGCACAGTGTCAAGTACTGATGTGATATCTTTTGACATTTCTACAGCAGTTGTAGAGGTTACACAAACATTTACAAAGTTTTGCTACAAGGAGAAAAGGCAAAGAGCCCAGCCTGAGACCAAGCCACCAGATATGTTTCTGTTATATGCGGTCGAATATCTGAAGCACTGAGTTAATCATAGAATCCCTACAGAGTAGAAACAGGCCCTTTGGCCCAACAAGTCCACACCGACCCTCACAGCATCCCTCCCAGACCCATCCACCTATAACCCACCTAATCTACACATCCCTGAGCACTATGGGCAATTTAGTATGACCAATTCACCTAGACTGCACATCTTTGGACTGTGGGAGGAAACCGGAGCACCCGGAGGAAACCCACGCAGACGTGGGGAGAATGTGCAAACTCCACACAGACAGTCTCCCGACGGTGGAATCAAACCCGGGTCCCTGGTGCTGTGAGGCAGCAGTGCTAACCACTGAGCCCCCGTGCTGCCCTGTGCTGAGTATCTCAATTATACAGTAATCATTTAGAGTCATAGAGTTGTACAGCATGGAAACAGACCCTTCAGTCTAACTCGTCTATGTTGACGAGATTTACAAAGGTTCAATTAATTCTAGCAAGTTGTGTAATTACTGAGATACAAATTCACACAGATGAGATATTTGACAGCTGATGGTAAGAAAGTTTCAGGGCGAGAGAACCTCATTGGTAAAGTTTATCTTGACAGCTAGAACTTGGTTTTTGGATTCTTGCCCGATTAAGTTCTCTCTGCTGTCGTTTTTTTCTCACCTCTTCTGTGAGGAGAAAATCACTCCTTCTGTTTCTCCTTCTACATAGATATATCCAACCTGTCAAGTGTTTTCCAGCATTTTCTTTTCTTTCAGACAAAATTTTACATTAGACCATGTGTGGTGGTTGAAACTGAAACTACCAACTGGAACAAAGAAACAGAACCTGAATGAGAAACGTCAAGAAATTCAAACAGATAAAATAATTTCAGCTGGAGGTCAAGCAGAAGCCATGAGAAAGTAAGAGTGTAAATTGACATTTTTCAGTCAATTTTATAATTGAATACAAATCTGCTCCAGGATGCTCAACCAGACACATCACTGTTGAATCAGAGATAGTAGGAACTGCAGATGCTGGAGAATCCGAGACAACAAGGTACAGGGCTGGATGAACACAGCAGGCCAAGCAGCATCATAGGAGCAGAGAGGCTGACGTTTCGGGCCTAGACCCTTCATCAGAAAAGGGGGAGGGGAAGGGGGTTCTGAAATAAATAGGGAGAGAGTGGGAGGCGGATAGAAGATGGATAGAGGAGAGGATAGGTGGAGAGGAAACAAACAGGTCGAAGAGGCGGGGATGGGGCCAGTAAAGGTGAGTGTAGGTGGGGAGTTAGGAAGGGGATAGGTCAGTCCAGGGAGGACGGACAGGTCAAGGGGGCGGGATGAGGTTGGTCGGTAGGAGATGGAGGTGTGGTTTGAGGTGGGAGGAGGGAATAAGTGGGAGGAAGAACAGGTTAGGGAGGCAGGGACGAGCTGGACTGGTT